GTCATGCAGTGAGCAAAAGGCTAGAGATTCCATGTTTTACTCGTACAAGAGGAATATAAATGGTTTTGCTGCACTTCTTGAGGAAGAAGAGGCTGCTGAGATTGCTAGTATGTGTACAAAGCAAATTAATATTAATATTCATATAATGTATTTCAATCATGTTTGAATTAATTAATTATATATGTTTATATTTTTATTTTATAATGATTTTAATTAATTAAATTTTTTGGTGTATAAATGTAGAGCATCCAAATGTGGTATCAGTAGTAGAGAACAAAGGTCGAAAACTGCACACGACTCATTCGTGGGATTTTCTTCGACTGGAAAAGGATGGCTTTGTTAGTCCGTCTTCCCTTTGGGAGAAAGCTCGATACGGCGAAGATACCATTATTGCAACACTCGACACTGGTAAAAAATTAAATTAAAATCAAATGAAATTAAATTTTAATATTTTATTTTTTTGAGTAATTATTGCTACTTTTCAAATTAATTTTTTTTTTAAAATGACTAACGATTAGGTATTTGGCCTGAATCGAAGAGCTTTAGCGACGATGGTATTGGTCCCATTCCTTCAAAGTGGAAAGGAATCTGTCAGTTCGAAGGCAATAAGAAACACCTTTGCAATAGGTACTTGTCAATTAACATCGATTCGTTTAACCGATACAGAACTCTTTTGTCGAAGTTTGTAACCGTTAGATCAATTATCCCCGACCGTTATATGATGATCTAACGGTTACAAACCCTGACGGAATGGTTCCGTAACAGGACAATTAACATCCATTCGTAATTTGTTACAATAAATTATTTGATTTTCATGATTTATGAAAACTAAATTATATCCATCTATTTATAAATGTTTTATGAAATTTCTTGTTTTATGTTTCATGACAGAGAAACTAATACAAGAAAGTTAATTAAAAATCCTTAAAAATCATTGAAGTTGCATTCCAGAATATGATTATTCACAAATGATTCACGGCCCGTTGGATCGGCGGGCCCCAAATGCTGGACACGACTATATCTAAAGGCCAGTTCAAATTACCCCAAATGCTGGACACGACTATATCTAAAGGCCAGTTCAAATTACCCGGCCCGACCCGGCAAGTCATTGATCAGCTGGTTTTTATTTAAAAAAATGAAATCAACTATGGCCCACCTTTCGACCTAGAACCTAGAACTGGCCCGGAACAACCGACGAGTCAAAAAAGAAAAATGAAGACCCGGACCCGGCCGTTGAAGGCTAAGGGTCCGGCTAAAAAACTGGTAATTCCGGGCCGGTTCCGGACTGGGTCGACCGTTGGCTATGTCTAACTAACAAGAACAAGAGCAATTAGTTTATATCATATTTCACCACAAAAGGCATAACATTTAGGCTCCCTTCAAAAGGAAAATGTTTGGTCAATATATTTTCTATAGCAAGACTATCAAAAAGTGTTTCCTCTTTTAGTCACGTGTCTTGACCCTTTTTTGTAAATTATTATTATTATTATTATTATTATTATTATTATTATTATTATTATTATTATTATTATTATTATTATTATTATTATTATTATTATTCATTTGAAGTGAGCGTATTGTGTGCAGAAAACTGATTGGTGCCAGGTACTACAACAAGGCTTATGAAGCCTTTATAGGCAAGCCTCTCAACTCTTCGTTCCAGAATGCACGCGACTCGGAGGGCCACGGGACCCACACCCTCTCCACCGCCGCCGGGAGCTTCGTCCCGTCGGCCAGCGTGTTTGGTATCGGGAACGGGACCTCCAAGGGCGGCTCCCCTCGGGCCCGCGCCGCCTCGTACAAGGTGTGCTGGCCCCCCATCAACGACAGCCAATGCTTCGACGCCGACATCATCAAGGCTTTCGACGTGGCCATCGACGATGGGGTGGACGTGCTGTCGGTCTCCCTCGGAGGCTCCGCCGACGACTATTTCAACGACGGCATCGCCGTCGCTTCCTTCCACGCTGTGCGGAGAGGAGTCTCTGTA